TATTGGATCCGCCATTTTGAATTTTTAAAAACTGACATCATATTCATAATCAGCGAGTTTTTTGCTTCATGTAAATATGAATATTTTAGATAGTGTTGAGATTCTATATGTTCTTTTTAATATGATCCGATTTTAATAGTATTAAATTCTATAATATGGAGGGTAAAAATTTTATTAATTTTTTAAAAAGTATAATTTTTTTTAGTGTTTCATCCAAGTTGTTGGCGCAGTACTTTGCCAGCAATGCGTTCCCTCTTAGGACCATGTGAGTAAAATCCAAATAAATAGTTAGAATACAATAAATGAGTATAAATGTTTGCATATGTTTAGTTTTATTTTTTTAATGGGTTTTGATAAATTATTTCTATAATTGTAATAATGTACAGTAATTTTAACTGATTAGTAATTTTTTTTAATGAGAATTTTAAGAAAAAGGGTTCGAATACTAATAATATATGTTGAAAATATTTACGATATTATCGATCGAAAGATGATGTTCAACCACACTTAGTTCGTGTAACAGGGACTTCTTCTTAGTCATACTAGCATTAACCCCCCAATGGACTACGAGAGAGGGGTAACAAAGACAGGGTAAGAAAAAAGTGAACGTTGCATTTGTTATCGAATGAGTTGGTGATGGGGCAGTAACAGGGGGTTTTTTAGAAGGGTGTTATTCACTACAACTTAGTGCTGTGCAGTGCTACCTAGAGTTAAGTTCCCCGGATTTGCTCGCTAGCACACGCGATACGATTCTATATCTTAGCCGCGTTCAGAAATCACGTGCAAAGTGTAAACATTATTATAAACACGTGGGAGAAGTTGTTTATTTCATTTACGTATACTTCGCTTTGCGGAATTCTAATATGATTTCATTTAGACAGATCATTCATGGAATATTATCATATTCATTCTTCTGAAATAGTGCGCGTTGCATCTTCCTAGTGATTTGATTTCATATTCAAACCGGTTGAATAGAAAGCTGATTCATAGAACAAAAACCATGGGGTGCGACGTTGATGTTTCGTAAAGTGAATCTGTACAAAATTAGGTACTCAGTAATAAACTAATATTAATGAACATTAATACTTTCAAATAGTTTAAAAGAGATACAATATATTCTTTTTTTGGTGACATAATGGATCAAAGTTTGTGTGGATTGAAGTGACAACATGGATCATACAAAAATACATTACTTTTTTGACAGTTTAAAATGGCAAATGACAAATGTCTTTCGGAAATCTGTCAGCCATGCGACCGTCCGGTAAGTGTTTAGATAAATTTTAATTTCAAGTATTTTTATATTAGAAGTGCTTTTCAAAGGTAAATGAAAAAAAAATTCGTGCTACCCAAGTAGCATACTTTTTTTTTTTAATAACCATATTGGTTGAATCAACAAAATATTAAATATTAAAACAATATTAAACTATCAACCTTTAGGTAATAAGTAACTTGTTGCTAAACATCTTATTGCGCCAGAATCTTAATTTAAGATACTTTAAAAAAACTTATTGAAGTAATTTACTATACAACTGTTTACAAATTTAGATATAAGTGATTTTATCTGTATCCGCAAAGTAAAAATTTTAAATAACAGATGTTGTTCAACTTAATTAAAAGAATATAAGTTTTAAATGTATAATTACAAGGAAATTACATCTCGAAACTGATTAAATCCACAATTTGTTGTCGCCGATTTTAAGCCCGCTAATTTTTCTTTTTCAAAGAAAAAGTTATCACGGGGTTTTTGTTATTATTCAGCTCACGATCTTTTGAAATGAAATCAAATCTGTTTGGTATTCGAGGTGCGATTTTCATAGGACGGAAGGTAAGGTTGGGAATCGTGATTGAATCTAGAAGCCTAGCCATAGTCCGAAGAAAACACCCCACAGCATTTGTATCTTACTAGCTACCCCTAACATCGTCTCGGACTTTGTATAAATCCTTCTCCAGCTAGGGTCAGAACCCTAGCTTGTATGTGTGGACACGACACAAATAGTTTCATTATATCGAACACAATATCTATAATACATAATTCTTGAAACCACCCCATATATAAAGAGAAAAGACATAAGCGTCGTAAAAGCGTTTTGATTTCGCCAAACGTTTCCATAATTTTGTGAATTTTTATTGATGCGTAGCATATTGAGTAGTGTTGAGTAGTACGCACTATGCCGTTCAATAACTTTTGTCCACCCCACAGCGATTAAGCGCATTAGAAAAAGTATAATATTTTTGGTTCGTGTATACAGTTACAAGTGTCAATAGGGACTTTAAAACTTATTTCTTAATCTTTTACACTAAATAAATATTTTTATTATTTTTCCAAATATGTAATTACTTTCATGTGCTTTTGACTTTATTCATCAACCACAGTAGCAGGCCTGCACAGTAGTTAAGGGTTCGCTAAGAATAAAATGTTAGATTTTCAAAATTCATAGGATGATACATGAATATGAAAATAAGCGAATGATTTTTTTTAGAAATTGTTCAGATTTGCATGAAACTTGTTACTTGGGGGTTTTTGGGGTCGGTATAGACCGTTCGACATACATTAAGTTAGAGGTTTAACATCGAGGTACAATATGGTGTGCACTGTTGATTACTGTTCGGTAAACACCCTCAGAACTCGATTGTCGATAAACCGGTTGTACTCAGGAGAAGTTTTCTACACTTTCCTTCTCCCTCACGAAAAAAAACCCAATTAGGATGGTCCAGGCAAACGCAACCACTCCTAATTCGAAGGCATTCTGTAGATGCAGTATTTTTAAGGCCAATTATCAGTTTCTTCGAAAACGCTTACTTATAAGCACGTTTAGAAGTTAATAATATTTAAATCCTATAAGTTTTAATATTTATGATTAATTATCAACCAAACTTATTCTTACGATTACGATTACGAATCTTTCTCCTGCAGGTGGAAGAATCTGTCTTTCTTTGTTTTACACATACACCTGTCGGAAACATTGGTGGCGGGAACTTTATAAGAGAAGGTGCACTTTAATCCATGCTACATTAGATTACACAGAAGTCTGCATTGCCAACGACTGAAGATAAATTATCTTCCACCGATATTTCATAAATTCATAATATTCTGAATGATAGTAAGAAGAGAGACCGTCTCGTGGCTAGCCATTAATTTTTTTCATTCTTAAGCTTCTTAAGTATTTTAAATAAGTTATTTTAGTTGCTGTGGAAAATTTTCCAATTTCCAAAAATTCTTATTCTCAACTCGTTCTCAATGCAATTTCTTTTACTATATGAAAGAAACTTTTTTCTTAATGCAAAAGCATTGAGCTTTTGCTTTTGCAAGAAAAAAGTTTCTTATTTTTAGGTTAATTAAATTCCGTTTGGTTTTGCTTTCTTTTAAAAACTGATCTGGCGCCAAGTCTACATGCTTTTTGCAGAACATAAAAAATAAATTCCAAACATTTGAAGCATCGTCTTTAAAGAAATACGTCCGCCATATTGAGCTTTTAATATGGACGTTGCACGTATTGATTGAAAGAATGATAATCTTCTGCATTATTTTATTGAAAATGCACAAAGTATATTCACTGCATAGAATTGAATTTGGATAGGATTGTGGAATAGAGGTATACAATCAATGGGAATGAATTAGCCTTTGGTGGAAAAATGTTATGTGAAGCTGTATATATACCTGGGCACGATATGTTATTGGCCGGATCACGTAGGCTGGGGCTCCAACAGTTCCATCATACCCAAGCCTGCAATCTGCATAATTTCCCTTCGAGCTTCATCGTTTTGCGTTTACATTTTGCGGAACTCGACCAACGCTACCTTAGGCCTCAGGGCCTTTGAACCTACTTCGCTCCTCGGACATCATTACGCGGGCCTCAGTTTTGTGATTCATAACGTGATACACAACGAAAGAAAAGACGGAATTTAACTTACTTTGGAATTTGAGAATTTGGTATGAAAAAAAACTGTTGGTCGAAACCACTTTCCTAAACACACGAAAATTATCAACGGTTTACCAAATTATATACATTTCTGATGTACCAAAATCAGGATTGTTACGCTACTTTGCTTAAAACTTATTGTTACCCTGGGGTTTTCGCGGTCGCGGTCAGATTTCCAAAATTCAAAATGGCGGATCTAATATGGCTACATGGGGATTGTAACACCTCCTTGAAGTATGACGTAAGATATCAACAACCACCTGATCTTTCCATGACAACGTCATGATGAAAATAATATAAATGTGATTGACAAATTTTGAAAATGATTTCTCATAAGATTTCACGATAAAAAATTGATTAGCAAAACTTGAAATGTAATCATTAGAATGGACCGTAAAAATCAGGCACCCCATGGATTTTGAAAAGGGAATGAAAAGATCTTTTATTTAAGATAAATTTCATCCATAAAACTTATGAGTATAGAAATCAGACTGTGGGATCTCCTATCATATTAGGATAAGAGATTTTCGAAGTAATTCACATCCGCATCCCTAAAGTTTTAAAGAGGGTTCCAAAGGCAATGCGATTTTCCAACTGAAGCTCAATGTAAAAAATCTAATCTACTTGAACACCCTCCCTAAACGTTCGAATAAAACTCGACTTTTAAAAACTGTCGTCCTGGCCCTAAGGTGGTCAACATCACTTTTGAATTTTTTTACGATGTAATATTTATCAAAATATATTATGGTAACCATATTCTGGTTTTAATATAACGATAGTCGTCAATTACCCGAGTTATCATTGTTGACTTTACCGGTACCAAGCCGGTAAGAAAGCTGGTTTTATAGTGCCGATCTGATACTCTAAATCCACTGCTGATACAATGCCGCTCATCGATTTAACATTTCTTCATACAGATTAATTTATATCATACAGATTTTTTTTCAAAGGGAAACTTTTAGATCCAACATCTATTCAAAATATTCATTCAAAAATATTCGCAAGAAAAATAAGGGGAAAAAAATTTACTTCACACAAAAAACTATCATTTGGCAAAGAAAAGAAAGAAGATACGTGTATTAAAGAGTAGGATACACACTAAAACGAAAAAGAATATGCAAGAAAAAAAAAACAAGAGGAGGTGGAATGTGTGTTTGATATCAAACTGAATAGCTCCGTACAATTCATGAAATTCTTTCATGTCAGTGAAATAGGGTGGCTATGAGGTGGGAGATGAGTTGGAAAGGCCTCGTTCGCGGTATAAGACTCGTTTGCACTCACGTAGTCGTAGTGTATAGTCTCTTGGTAAAAGGGCCCGTTCCCCCACCCTCATTTTGATGGGTCAGACACTGGGGTAAACTAAACTCCTTGGACGCTGGGTCTCAGTGCTGACTTCAGCTTTGTCCAGATTACCTCGCATCCTCTAATCGTTTTATACTGCAACTCTTTTTTTTTTCTTCTTCTTTCATTTCGCGCCACACCGCGTCGTGCATCAATTTCACTCGTTTGCTGCTAGTACATAGCTTTTCATCTTTATTCTCAGCCATATAAAATAAAGCTTTTCTTCAATCATTCTCATCTACCCATCAATCCTTTTTTTTAACCACCTACTAAATGAACTAACTTCCTAAACATCTAAAACATCAAAATTTTCTTTTGTTCCATAAACTTATCATTAATTATTGTTCCCTACTCTTATCAGTTAATAATCTCATTTTTTTCAAAAATAAAAAATTTAGTTGAACGTACAGTTAAAAGTGATCTCAATGTGAAACTATGGTTTTTTTAAAAAATCGTTTATGTGTTTGTGAAACTGGATACAAATGTGTTTTGAAACGATTTAAAGTGATGCACTTTTGAGAATATATTTTCAATTGGTGAAGATATTACCAAGATATTTTTGGAAAAGTTTTTTTTTTTTTAATCGAAGAGATGATAAAATTGCCATAGTGAATTAAGAGGCAAGTGTTTATGAAAGGAATTTGATGCCGACGTTTCGATTCTCTGCAATGCGCTCCGTGTTGCTCTGATAGAAGAATTGTTAACTGTAAAGGAAGATGAAACATTTCTTTTAATAGTTAGTGTCTTAAGTGGGTATATTAAAAGTTGGCAATGAATAGTAAAGTGTACTAAAAAATCACTACTAATTACACAATACTCCTTTTGCAAATATTTACAATGGAGTTTTTAAGACCATTGCACTTGAGACTTCTCATTATTGTTCAAAGAAAATGGACATCCGAAGTCTGAATAAAACTTTATGTATATAAAGAAACGTGTTATTAGTTTGCATTTGCAACAATAGTCTTTTCTTGCACTTGCCATTAAGTCATTTTACTTCGAAAGAAAAAATCATATAAGTAAACACTTACTTAAAAATGTCAAATTGCAACAATACCAAAAAAAAATCATAAATTGAGGTATATTTGATACTTTCGGGAAAACTGAAATTTTTAATTCATCTACTTGTTTGCTTAACGCAAACAAGTAGATGAATTAAAAATTTCAGTTTGAAATCCGGTCCTAGACATGCAGCTATATACATAACAAATAGTCTTCTTATTGTAACATATATAAATGTCAGAGCACTCACTTCCCACATCAACATTGAGAATTTTCTGAAGACTTTCATTTATTAGTTCGAGAATGGAGGTTCGAACTGAAAAATTAAGAATTTGGAAGGAGTAAATATTTCATGAGACGAATTTCATCAAGAAATACTTGATGCTTTGTGGGACTTTTATTTGGAATGCAGAACTCATTTGGAAGATACCCAGAATTAAACCAATCTAGTTTTTAGTCTCCCAGGCCTAAATGGAATGAAACCTCTAATCGTAAATCGGATTCTTTTATATGTAAGAGAGAAAAGGACAGAAGATATTTTTATCCTTTTCTCTCTCATGCAAAATTTTACATGATTTGCGAGAGATTTTATTCGAGCTTTTATTTCTACTTTTGGCCGTAAGGTTCAATTATTTTTTCAACATTTATTAATATTCTGAAGATTTTTCCAAATATTTTTTGGTGAATTCTTGAAATTATGAAAAAGAGAAACTTAGAATGACAAAGAAATTGTAAATTAATGTTGGTATTTTAATATTTTGCGAAAATAAGTAGGACGTAATATTAAAATTTTCACTTTAACTTAATCCCTTCGGGTCATCGGGAAACCCAGAGATTGGATTTTGTTGAAATTTGTCACTCTGGGGTTTCTGGGGTCGCTGATTATGAATCTAAAGTCAGATTTTCAAATATTATCAAAATTCAAAATGGCAGATTCAATATGGCGGATATTTTTTTTAAATTTCTCCAATTTGCCTAAAACTTACAACTCGGGGGTTTTCGGGGTCGCTGCTTGCACGAATCTGTGGTCAGATTTTGAAAATTCAAAATAGCGAAATCGAAAACTCCGGAGTAACAACTTTCAAGCGAAATTGAGCAATTTAAAAAAAAAAATTCTGCCATATTGGATCCGCCATTTTGAATTTTGGAAATTTTGTAAATCTGACTTTAGTTTCGTAATCAGCGACTTAAAAAAACGGTAAGAAAAACCTCTGTAAAGTTTAAGTTGAAATTTTTGTCTTCATTTTATTACTTTGCTTCATCCTCATAAAACTTTTCATTTTATGAATATTCTATAAATTGCATTATTGCTAAACATTATTGTTATTCAACATAATATCACATATTAGCATTTTCTTAGAACTGAATCCTAAGATAATTTAAATCCAAAAGAGCACTTTGTAAAATATAATTTTAATCATATTTACAAAGGATCGAGCAGGAAAATAGCTACTTTTTTTCAACTGTAAATCTTGTACAGAGTTTCTTGTGGTCAATACCACAAGAATAAGTTCGTACATAAAACTAACATTTTTCTTTTTAAATCCATATATATATCTCTATAACAGAGGCCGACAAAACTTTGACGATTCGCAGAACCGCAAGAACCGTGTATACAATACTTTTCCAAAGGTTTTTGACGTTCTGAATTCGAATCTGACTTTAAAATTGCATCACTATTTTAGAGTATTGAGATATTCTGATCTAAAAGTGACAGAAACCGGTTTTTTTTTATAATTTTTGAAGTCATGTAACTTTAAGAGAAAATTTTGTTTCTAAAAGTTCGTAACGTACTATTTACCATCTTCAAAAGCATTTCTTGGTAAGTTTCAAGCGAATTTTAAAAATCTGACATCAGATTAGTAGTCAGCGACCCCAAAAACACTCGAGTAACAAGTTTTAAACGATTAAGTTGAGTTTTTAAAAATTCGACCGCCATATTGGTTCCGCCATTTTGAATTTTATAATTTTGACTTTGAATTCGTAATTTTTGCCCGAGAAACCTAAGATACTGGTATTTTACATTTTTTTGCTAATTAATTAAGTTTTTTGTCAATAATTAGGCGCCATCCATTAACTACGTTACAAATTTAGAGGGGGGATCCAAAAATCTACAAAATTGCATTGAACGCAATGATAGCAAGGGGGAGGGGGTCTAAAAAGTCTGAAAACTTGTTACACTAGTTTAAGGACTCCCTTACGGATTCAAAGTCAAAATTGCAAAATTCAAAATGGCGGAACCAATATGGCGGTCGATTTTTAAAAAGTCAACGAAATTGATAAAAACTTGTTACTCGGGGGTCATTGGGGTGGCTGATTACGAATTTGTGGTCAGATTTTTAAAATTTGCTTGAAACTCATCGACAAATGCTTTTAAAGATCGTAAGTCACTTAAATATTACGAGTTTCTAATTATTTTATTCTTTATTTTTGAAGTTTTACCCGACACTGTTCAGTTTACAAAAATTATCGAATTAACCATATTTAAAAACTTTAAGGAACAGAATCTCATCGAAGCTAAGTAAAGGTTTTTTGAAAAATTAAAAAGTTTTTTAAATGGGATCATAGTAATTTTAAAAACTAGAGTGCTTGAGCAATATATAATCTAAGGTCAGATTCGAGATTTAGCAAGTTAAAAACCTCCGAAAAAGTATACTGTCTGGTTCTTGGTTTTGAAATTCGTCAGAATTTTGTCGGCACGTGTAATTAAACGCTTCTAAGATATTTTATTTGTGTCAGCTAGTCTCTCCCCATAGATTCAATATACTACAAGTAAGTTTGATTTATCGATTATAAACTCTTGTCTTTTCTGCATTCTAGTTCAGGATTCCATTCCTGCTTCGAGTACTTTTTTTCTTAAAACAACTTAAGCAGATAAAACAATCCATCTCAATCCGTTTAGATCTTTAAAACGTTTAAAACTAAAATAATTGAAACTTAACCTATTTTTAAGATTGTTAACAAGAATAAGTCAACTTTAGTATAATGTTACCTGCAACTTTAATGTATATAATATTAACATTACTTCCCGAGTCAAAATTTAGGCCCCTTTTTCGATCCCCTCTTTTTAAGCCTTTTTTTGATCCTGAAAATGATGCCGAAAAATCCATATTCCGATTTTTAGAGGTTAAAAAACAGGCTTTAGACCCTTTAAACCCTTTTTGTGCCCAAAAAGCAATCGTACCAAGGGGGGAGGCGTAATAAGGAATAAAAAATTGATAATATAGTTTATGGACGGACCCATTTTACCTAGCATTACAGTGACATTACAGTAATATTACAAGCCACTTGGGAATATTTTGCCATTGGCGAACTATTATTAGATATAAATCGCTAGTGATCAGTCTTAACTGCACTGTTTCAGTAAGAGAAACTTCGACATACTTTTACGTACCATAGAAAATTTCTCTGAATTTTCTTGACACATTCATTGATAGCTTTATTTTTCTGAGCATTCAATAAACTATTTCTAAGATGTACTTATAATGCTCATAAGAGACATTACGGTAAGAGAGAACGCTCCTGCTGAAAGTATAAAAAGATAGAAACGCATATAGAAATTTTCTTTCCCTCTCAAGTGTATAGTTTATGTCCATTTAACCTTATCTCGTTCCATCAACAAATATGCATTCATTTCAAATATTAAATTAAAGTTTTATCCTTTTTGTCTACTAAGTTTTTAATAATTCCAGTTTCTAAAATTTTCCTTTAAGGAAATAAAATTTTATTCTCTTAAATATGATTGATCCTATAAATTTTAGATGCGGAGATTTTTGATGCTTTATATGAAGATCATTAGACCTATGGTTTAAAAGTTCCTTTTTAAATTAATTAAGAAATTAGTTTTTATTTCATATTTTGAATGCAACGATGTAATATCTATTTTTATAGAGAAAATATCCAATACAAGGAAGCAAACATACAAAACTTTTTGCTTCTTAGGTCCTTTTCTCGCATAAGCGCGTCACAAATAAATCTGAAGAAAGTCAATAAAAAAGTTTCTTATGATCATATTCTAAAACATAAACCGGATACAAAATTTATGCATTTATTATTATGACAAATATCCCAGTTAATAATTTTTGTTTAAATCCGTTAAAAGTGTCTTCAACTTATCGTATATTCATATAAAAAACGGGATCCACGTGCATTCGAATATTTGATGAGAGGATAATATATTTATAAACATGAGTATAAATCATAAATATGAGTATAAATTATAAATAGAGGAAAATTAGCTTTAAAGCATTATTAAAAATTGATAAATTTCGAAGGATTACAAAAACTTTCTTAATAACATGTAAGCAAAACAGTTAAATTTAAATAACCAAACATAAACGAATTGTAACAGATTTTTAATTTACGTGCGCATACATCTTAGGATTAACACTAACATACAATTAAAACTTGTAAACACTAAGTATATTCAAACGCGAGACGCATATAACCCAACTGCTTACATTATTCATAAAGACTACGACCCCAACACTGATTAAACACTTTCGAAACTTATTGTTCACATAAAGTGTGAATTTATCTTTTCTTACCTCTTTCTATCCACAAAAATTTTTATTAATATTTTTGAAATAATAAATCCATGGATGGAAATTAAAAAAAAATTTTTAAAGCAGATATATAAAAAATGCCAAAATGCCGAAATTGCGATACTTAGAGGTTAGAGCTGTACTTAGCCAGCAGTGAATCAAGATTTTCTTGTAATGCTGTAAGTATATA